AAGAGGGTCTAAAACTCTAATTTTGGCCTCGTAAACCGCACCCTTGGTCTTTAGACTCTTGGGCAAGCCCGAGAGCACTCTAGGGGCTTTCCGAAAAGTTGTTGTAGGAGGTGTGGTTCCACACAGTCTAGAAATAGCGTCTTTCGGAAGATGCCTTGTTTTTCAATGAAAGACCAAAAAAAAAAAAACCAAAAAAATCAAGAGGAACAAAAAAGGAGTGCAACACGAGGACTTCCCGAGAGGTCACCCATCCTAGTAGTACTCTTGCCCAAGCACGCTTAACTGCGGTGTTCTGATGGGATTCGGTGCATTAGTGCTGGTATGATCCCACCCATTAGTATATGTATCGCATTAGCATATATCCTTTGGCTCTGAGTCCGCAATGAAATCTCTTCGCGTGTGTTGCACTGTTTATATGGGTTTTCCCGCCCAGCTGCGACGAGCATTCGTGCCAAGATATATAAGTTAGGACACCACGTTTGACGACACTAAAACCAAGATTTATGTTTTAGAAAAACGCCCGGAAGAGGGTCTAAAACTCAAAATTTTGGCCTCGTAAACCGCACCCTTGGTCTTTAGACGCTTGGGCAAGCCCGAGAGCACTCTAGGGGCTTTCCGAAAAGTTGTTGTAGGAGGTGTGGTTCCACACGGTCTAGAAATAGCGTCCTTCGGAAGATGCCTTGTTTTTCAAATGAAAAGACCAAAAACAAAAAAAACAAAAAAATCAAGAGGAACAAAAAAGGGGTGCAACACGAGGACTTCCCGGGAGGTCACCCATCCTAGTACTACTCTCGCCCAAGCACGCTTAACTGCGGTGTTCTGATGGGATTCGGTGCATTAGTGCTGGTATGATCGCACCCATCAGTATATGTATCGCATTAGCATTTATCCTTTGCCTTTGAGTCCGCAATGAAATCTCTTCGCGTGTGTTGCACTGTTTATATGGGTTTTCCCGCCCAGCTGCGACGAGCATTCGTGCCAAGATATATAAGTTAGGACACCACGTTTGACGACACTAAAACCGGGGCTTATGTTTTAGAAAAACGCCTGGAAGAGGGTCTAAAACTCAAAATTTTGGCCTCGTAAACCACACCCATGGTCTTTAGACCCTTGGGCAAGTCCGAGAGCACTCTTGGGGCTTTCCGAAAAGTTGCTGTAGGAGGCCTGGTTCCACACGGTCTTGAAATAGCGTCGTTCGGAAGATGCATTGTTTTTAAAATGAAAAGACCAAAAAAAAAAACAAAAAAAATCAAGAGGAACAAAAAAGGGGTGCAACACGAGGACTTCCCGGGAGGTCACCCATCCTAGGACTACTCTCGCCCAAGCATGCTTAACTGCGGGGTTCTGATGGAATCCGGTGCATTAGTGCTGGTATGATCGCACCCGTTAGTATATGTATCGCATTAGCATATATCCTTTGGCTTTGAGTCCGCAATGAAATCTCTTCGCGTGTGTTGCACTGTTTATATGGGTTTTCCCGCCCAGCTGCGACGAGCATTCGTGCCAAGATATATAAGTTAGGACACCACTTTTGATGACACTAAAACCGAGGCTTATGTTTAGAAAAATGCTCAGAAGAGGGTCTAAAACTCAAAATTTTGGCCTCGTAAACCGCACCCTTGGTCTTTAGACTCTGGAAGCCCGAGAGCACTCTAGGGGATTTCCGAAAAGTTGTTGTGGGAGGC